GATAATTACATTCTACTTTCTCCCTTCTGCTCAACTTTGTAGTAATTTTGAAAAAAAAAAAAAAAAAAAACATAAAAGAGTTTTTGCCAATTTTTTTCTTTTTTTTCTTTTTTCTTTTTCTTTTTCTTTTTTTTTTTTTTTTACATAAAAGAGTTTTTGCCAATTTTTTTCTTTTTTTTCTTTTTTCTTTTTCTTTTTTTTTTTTTTTTTTGCAGCAGGCCAGTATGAGGCTTGGTGTTATCAGGCTGCACTCTAACCAGCTGAGCTAACTGGCCAGCCTATACCCCTGTCGATACTGAAGCTGAACCCAGTGTGGATCTTTTAATAAACTCTGACTACACCCTTTAACCTCCTACTTGGGAATTCAAACTCTGAATATTTTTTTCAGTTTCTCATATGGATTTAATATACTTCTACAAGGATCATTTTAGTTCTGTTTCTGAAAGGCCATTAGAGAAAACCTTCATATTTAAAATTGTGCTTCATTGTATAATTATAATTTCTTCTAAATTATAATTCACTGTCACCTTTGTAGACCACTGAGCATAAATAAATTATTGTATAAGTTTTAATCACTTGGTGTCAGGTGGAAATCCCCATCACCACCATGTGCTGCCTTTTCTTTTTTCCTTTTTTTCTTATAGAATGTCTTGAGTATTCTTGGCCTCAGGAAAAGATTGTTACATTTCCTTGAACATCACCTTTGCTGCAGTTGGAGACCCTGCTTCCTCTATTGGTGGAATTTTTTATCAGATTTTATTTTATCAATAGCCCAGTTTAGAAAGCATTGATTTTTTTCTAATATTGATTTTCTTATCCATAAATGTGTTCTATTTCATTTGTATGTCATAAAATGGATTTAAATATAAATTTTGTAAGAATTTCCAAAGAGCCTGTAACATCTTTTGTCAGTTAATTTGTATGCATCTTGTTGCTATTATAAATGCTATCTCTTCTTAAACACTGCCTAAATCAGAAATTCAATGACTCAGTGACTTTCTGGTGTCATTCACCTATCTGTAAATGGTGAATAAGTCTTCATAAGTTATTCATTGGCTTATCCTGAGATTTGAACCCAACCATTTCTCACCACAAGAGAAAAATTGCCTTGGCTTGAGAAAGAAAAGAATCACAGGATTGATTTTTACAATTGTTGTTGTGTTTTATCTCCCCGCAAGATTAACCTTCATAGTTTAATAATATTGAAATTGATTTCCCTTTACAAATGTCAGAGTAGAAATGTAGTCTAGATCTAAGTGGAATGATCAGCGAAATTTTACTTGAGGCTAAATTGTCATAGAAAAACCCCCAATTGACAATCTACCCACATTTAATAGTAGGTGCTTCCAGAAAATTCTGTGGTATTAGAATTTCTGAATTTAGAAAAAAGCCAAGGCTGCTGTAAGCCACCCTACGTATATTCCTCAACACACATCTTTTCTCCTGAAATCAATTAAAATAAACACCAAGTCATTCTTGCATTAGAGAGAGCATTTCAACATCATTATTCAAAAACAGGTAACCCAAATTTTGTTTACCTTATCAATATAAAAATAAATGCTGCCCGGAGAGTTATTATTTCAAAAATGAATTTTCTTTTTGTATTTTCATTACAGCTGTTGCCCTATTATCCTGAGACTGGCAATCTCCTAGGAGTATCCCACAGTTGTAACCCTGGTCAGAAGAGAACCTTCAGAGAACTGCCAACTGGGTGCCCAGGGTAGGATCTCAAAGTCTGAGGCTACGGGAAAATGTCAGAATAAAGTTCTGTGAGATTACTTTCAGTTCCTCATTTTCCTTCTGCCAATCTATGCACTCCTTCCCACTACTATTTTATGACCTCCCATTGTAGCAGATGCACATAGATCAAAATGAAAATGTCTGTTTCTTGGTATTTGTCAATATGTTGCCATTGCTGCTGGAGTGTGTGTGTGTGTGTGTGTGTGTGTGTGTTTGCACATGTATGAGAAGGAGAGAGAAAGTTGACTCTTCAAAACAAAACTGTAAGCTCTTTGAAAACAAATTTTGCCTACCTTTTATGTATTTCCTCTCAGTTCCTAGAGCTAGTTTTATACTCAAGGGACTCCATCAATGATGTTTCTTGATTGACTAACTGATGATTTCAAATTTAAAGTGCAGGCTGTGTATCTATAACTCACTTTAGACCATCAGTACATCCAGCACCCTCATCTCCAATCCCCTGCTCTTCCCCACTAGAGAGTAAATTCTCAGCTCCAGTTTCAAGAATCCTATTACAGCAGGATCATCCAGGAGCACTCAGCTCCACACTCGATGACCCCTTTTCTGTGGCTCACCGATCCACATCTGAACATTCACCCACGGTGTCCTTCTATTTATCTTTTTGCTAATCTCACTTACTACCCTATTGACCCTTCTCCAAGAATTCTGTCTTGACCACACACCCACAGCAAATGTTGATTTTTCCAAATTCTCTCAACATAGTTTGATCTCTTTTTAATTTCTAAAATGAAATTCTACCTAAAAATTTGCACTTCATTCTTTTTTTTATTTTTTTTAGTTATTTTTTTCATTTATGTGTCCTTCCTTTCATATTAGGTTCAGGGACCTTACTTGTTTTTTGTGTGTGTGTGTGTGTGTGTCAGTATGCAATGTGCTTGATTATTGTGGCCCATTACCGAAACTTCCCTCCAGCCGCCCTCTCCCCGCTCCCTCCCAACAAAGTACTTTCTGTTTGCTTGCCATGTCAACTTCAAGGAATTGTAATTGTTATATCTTCTCCCCCCACACCCCCCGGCATTTTTTGTGTATTTATTTATTTATTTTTAGCTCCCACATATAAGTGAGAACATGTGATATTTCTCTTTCTGTGCCTGACTTGTTTCATTTAATATATTTCTCTCTAGGTCCATCCATGCAGGGACCTTACCTGTATTGCTCTTCTGTTTACATTTCCCAATTTGTCCCAATCCAAAACTAAGTCAATGTTAATTTCATGTTTTACAAATTTTTGATCGAATAGTGGATTGGATGCCTCCATAGAGTCCCAAAATAAGAACAAGACTGCATGAGGTGATCATGCCAATCACTACAATATGGATCCAAGTATGCCAGCCTGTATGCACACATGCCAACTGCATTAGTGGTGCCAGGTCACAAAAATAATGGGCCACCTCTTTCAAGCAGAAGGGCAGAGTGGCGGTGAGACTGGCTGGCACAAGTGCAGCTGAGAAGCCAGCCACCCAAGGGGTCCCAGCTAGCCAAAGCTGTACCCGTCTGCTCATGAGTGCATGGTAGTGGAGGGGGCGGCAGATGGCAAGGTGGCGGTCCAGTGCCATGACACCCAACAGGTAGCACTCAGTCATGCCCAAAGAATGGAAGACATACAGCTGGAAAAAACACACAGTCGATGAGATGGGTGAGCACCCGTGAAGCAAGGTGTGTAGCAGCGTGGGCACCGTGGTGCTGACGTACCAGAGCTCCAGAAAGGAGAGGACACTGATAAAGAAGTACATGGGTGTGTACAGTCTAGAATCTACCTGAACCAGGATGATGATAATCACGTTCCCTGCAAGGGTGAGGAGATAGATACAGAGTGTCCCCAGGAAGGCAAGAGGTCGTAGGGTCTCACTGGCAGTGAGACCAGCAAGGATGAAACTCTGGCTCCAGGTATGGTTGAAATGATCCATAATTACTAGACACAGAGAATAAAAATAGAAGATTCATGATTTCAGGATTCTTCCTCCTGAGAAATTTCTTCAGATTCAAAGCTGTAGAATGTATGAGAGTTCTACAAAAACTTCATGGAAAAATAGAATTAAAAGGAAAAAAGTAGAATTAAAAGTGGGAATCTTTTATGAAGTTTTTGAAGTGCCCTCATACAGGCTTGAAAAGAACTTACAGATTATCAAAACAACTCCACTCATTTTGCAAAAAAGGAACTGAAGACTAAAAGGCAGAAGTGATTTGCTCAATATCTGTCGCTGATGGGAAAGGAGTGTTCAGGTTCCCTGACTCACAGATCAAAACTTTTCTTGTTGTATAATACGTAGCTTCTGCATCTCAAGCCCCGGGATTTTTTCCCACATATCAGAGGAGACCAGTAAACCCCCGTGCTTGTCCTCCTAGAGTCCCAAGTAACATGTCCCGTATACTTTATGACAACCACCCATAGCATATCCCCTGTATCCTATAACCAGCTATACTAAATAGTGGAAAAAGGAGACATACACATTTTAAAATATGACTGCTAAGGAATCTTCAGGGAGCCTCTCTGGAACTCAGCAATGTTCACATTAAGGGCTGAAAGAGAAAGAAATGGGAGAAAAAATTGTGGATAATTTGGGAACATTTCTTAAAGCTCAGAACTGTAGGGCCAGATGAAAAATCAATGAGCAGATGGGATACATTTTAAGGAAAGATCCCAACGGGAAGCATGGATCAGGAATTCTCAAAGAGGTTGGAGGAGGGGAGGATTGATGCAGCCAGGCCCCTGTGGTGCTGGTCCAGAAGGGCTGCAGTATATCAGAACGCGCATTCTCTTGGAAACTGGCTTTCTAAACTTGCTTTGCCACTAACTCAAAATGACCACTGGGCTTGACCATTTTTCTTTACCTCAACTTCATCTTCTCCAAATTGAAGAACTTTCAACAGATGTTTTATAAAGGCCCTTACAACCCTAGTCGTCTGTGGCTCTCTAAAGTCATCGAAGTGTGTTTTTGGGGTGCGTGTGGAGGTGGGTGGTCTATATCAATGTCCCTTGAGTTTTCCTCCCACATCGTCATAGGCCTCACACAGGAAAGGTCAAAGCCCTCTCCTAGTTCTCTTCTTCAGTTGCTCTTATCTCTTCTGCACCAACCCTGCCCGTTACCTGTCTGTCTTGATAACATTAGAACTGGTAGCATCCTCCTCAGCATCCTTTCTACCCCTAGACAATCCCCTACGTATATATCATGTTCCTGGAAACACTGGCCTCCCAGGGGCTCCTTGCTTATGTTCCCTGGAGTTGCTAAGCGACTGCTCTCAGTAAAGGTTCCCCTGGGGCAGGAAGTTGGTCAGGCAAGTGAAGCAGACCACCTGTATTTCTCAAATGACTTCTCTCCCCTCTGCACCCCTCACGGTTGGGTAATCCCAGGGAGACACTGCTCCTGTGCTCCACGAGAAGTTTTGCAAGTTCCCAACAGTTTCTCATGAAGAAAGTCCATCCAATTTGCATATCCTTCTGCATATGGGGAAGATAGCACCTTGAGCATCTGGGAAGTGAGATCCATTTTCTTAAAAATTATTTTTGCAAGATTTCTCATCCGTCACTACTAGCTTCACCACCATACAAGCACAATCAACATGGTCACCACCATCAGTTTTTGCTGACCATCTCCACCTCTGTTATTCTCACCTCCACCCCTACCTTCACTGTGTCCACTATCATTTATTCATTGTTCCAATTGTTGCTTATTGAATAGCTAATTCTCTGTTCTAAGTCTCCATCACCAGTGTTACTACCATTACTTACACCAATACCACTGTCATTCTCATGGGACTAATCCACTTTTTCATGTACACTTTTATTTATGTGAATATCCTCAATATTTTCATCAAAATTCCAGATAGTAGCTTCTGAGCTCTGATCTCAGCTAAGTAATATCTGTGAGTATGTACTTGGATAGGTATGGAGTAAAGATAAACAATAGAAGTGTAATATTTATCCATTGAAAGTAAGGTATTTGAATCACTCATTTATCCAAATGTAATTTTATTTTTCAGAATCAGAGGTGAGGACAAAGAGTTGCTATTATTTTTTCTTTAGAGAACAGCATGACTTGTCATTTTCTTTCTTTTTTTTTTTGATCTGCAATTTTTTAAAATTCAATTTTATTTTATTTTACTTCTCAAAATACATTGAACTTGATTTTCATGCCCATATACCCATTCCTTTCCACCCCCTCTCCTCCCCACTCCCCACATCATATCTGTGCACTTGACTTAAATAATTCAAGGATTTTTTGTGGCTACTTGTATATTTTCATATGAGAAATTTCTATTCAGCTTCTTTGCCCATTTTTTAATCTAGTTACTTGTTTTCTTCCTGTTGAGATGTTTGGTTTCTTTGTACATTCTGGATATTAATCCTTTGTCAGATGCACGGTTTGCAAATATGTTCTCCCATTCTGTAGGTTGTCTTTTCCCTCTGTTAATTGTTTTTTTTGCTGTGCAGAAGCTTTTTAGTTTGATATAATCCCATTTGTTTATCTTTTCTTTTGTTGTCTGTGCTTTTGGGATAATATTCATAAAGTCTTTGCCCAGTCCTATATCCTGAAGTGGTTCCCCTATGTTTTCTTTTAGGAGTTTTATAGATTCAGGTCTTATAGTTAAGTATTTAATCCATTTTGCATTGATTTTGATATCTGGTAAGAGGTATTAATCTAGTTTTATTTTTCTACATATGGATTTCCACTTTCCCCAGCACCATTTATTGAAGAGGCAGTCTTTTCCCCAATGTATGTTCTTGGTTCTTTTATCAAAGATCAGTTAGATGTAGGTATGTGGGTTGAGTTCCAGTTTTCTACTCTGTTCCATTGATCTATCTGTTTTTATGCCATTGCCATGCTATGTTGGTTACTATAGCTTTGTAGTATAGTTTGAAGTCAATATGTGTTATGCCTTTAGATTTATTTATGTATGTATGTATGTATGTATGTATGTATGTATGTATGTATGTATGTATGTATCAGGATTACTTTGGCTATTTGGGGTCTTCAGTTGTTGCATATGAATGTTAGTTAGTTTGTTTGTTTCTTTCTTTCTGTGAAGAATTTTATTTTTATTTTGACAGGCATTGCATAAACCTGTAGATCATTTTGAGTAGTATGGACATTTTCACAATTTTAATAGCAATTGATTAATTAAATTTAGGATCAGGAGGTAACCATAAAAGATTAATAAGTAGATCACATTAACAAAAGGAAAAAAAAAATGAATGTTATGAGTCACATTGGGAAAGCTTCATATAGGAGTTGGAGATTTTTGAGCCAAAGGAAAGAAAGATATTTGCTTCTGAGAATGCCAATGTAACTTCAGGATTGGAAGAGTCTTTTGAATATTTGGACAATCTGAGAGTATCATTCAATCTTAACCAGTAGTTAGCCTACATCCTACTTCCTCAGAAATACTTGACCTTTCTCCAGGTTGAAGAGCTACAACTGTTCTTCACTAATTTACTGCATCTCCCACAGTTCCAAACACCAAACATTCTTTTTTTTCTTTTTCTGATGGATCTGTATAGATTAGCCATGTATCCAGACTCTTCAAATGAATAATTGTGCTGTAGTCAGAGTGGCCATTTTTATACTATTTTTATTCCCCTGTATTTTACATCACATTGCTATTTCTACATTCCTCCTTGTGAGCCAGACTCTGAGTCAGACTTCCCTAATTATTTGTAGTGCCCAGTTGTATATCTAGATGGCTTGTCATGAACTGAGTAGATTACAGAGCTCATGCACTACCTCTCAGAAGGCTGTCAATGTGACATAAATACCTGAGTATAGGAATTGTAGACATTGTCTAGAATCATTTAGTGCAGAAATACATACTAGAGGATTAAGGCTTCTAAGCATAGTTCTTGCATAGCCAAGAGAGTTGTTCCTTGTCTTTCATGTTTTCACTTGTCAGTAGAGTACTTACTTAGCATTTATTCTGTATCAGGAATGGAAAAATGGGAAAGTCCTGATAACTCCATCAAGCAAATCATGATTTAAAGAGAAAGATGACATCTAAAATTACCTATGTTAAAAAACTTAAGCAGGATTCAACATGTTCAAAAATTCACAATATCATTGCTAATATTTAGAAAAAACAGCCGATATTTATTAGAAATTACAAATGAATAGATAATAATTTATGAAGTAATAAGATTATAAGTTGTTTTAAAATTGTATTCTTTTAGGGCCGGCCCTGTGGCTCACTCTGGAGAGTGTGGCGCTGTTATCTCTGCTTCTAAATAAATAAATATATATATATATATATATATATATATATGTATTTTATTGATTCTTGCTTAAACAATCAAGTACTATGAAATATAACAATCAGAAAATATTTTGAAAATAAATATTCACAAATGTCTAAATTGTTTGATTATGAGTTACCAAAAATGATTACAGTAGAAAAAATTGTAGCCCAACATATCATCAAAAATCAGTATCATTAAATATCACACTTACAAAGTATGGAGAATCTGAAAATATGTATGCTGGAAATAATCAAAGGCAAAGGTTGGCGTGGTGTTATTCTTTCCACCCCCCGGACCCCTCCATTCTCACCAAAGATTTTCAAGGCCTAAATCATATTATTATGCATGTGATGGGTCAAAAAATGTTCTTTAAAACAAAAGTCAATTAGCACCATTAAAAAAAAAAGATTAGAGTAATTTAAAGGCTAAAAAGACAATGTTTACATGAGGAGGCAATGAAAATATTATAAGAAGATGAAACTGTCAGAACTGCATACAGCTTTTTCTGAAATCAGATTCTGACCACTTACGCACTCAAGCAAAAAATGGCAATATCTAAATCAGCATACATAATTTAGTAGGAGACTATAAATATTGTGTAATATTATAACAGTAGAACTTATATCAAATTGTCCTGTTAATGGCAGTGTTAAGTCCTTCCTAATTAATTCTCATCTTCTTTTGACCATCTATCTACTGACTTTAAATTGGAATCCTTGCCTTACTCTTGCTAATTATCTTCTTTACAATGTATAGATTTGGGCCTGCCCCTGAGCTCCAGACCTGAGGATGCATCCCTGATTTTTCTTTCATGGTTCCCACTGCTTGGTTGGAACTCCAAAATTCTTCCACTCCTTTTTAAAGAACACTCTTTTACTTTTTAAGGATGTCTTTGATGCCAACCATCTGATTCTTGTTTCCATGTTCTGCCTATAACTTGACCTATTTTCCAATACTTAATCCTCTCCAGTCTCAGGGATAGAGATCCATCTTCCTATTTTCTCAGACAGTTTCAGACACAGTTCCCAGGGACAGAATTTTACTCTTTGTTGAGCTATATCATGAAATATAAGATGCTGGATGCTGCTGACTCTGGCTTCCACCAACATCAGCTAGGTAAAAGGTAGAGCAACCTAAAACGATACTGTCTAAAAAATTCAAGTAATATATGGTTGAATTGAGGGCTTAATGTATAGCAAGTTTTGTTCTGAAGACTTTATATTAATCTTCACCAAAAGAAGTCCTATAAAATAGATGTTATAATTTCATTTTCCAATTGTAAAAATGGAGGCACTTAAATATTAAGAAATTTTCTCTACGTCACACAATTAAAAAGTGGCGAGACTAAGTAAGTCTGATGTTGGAGTCTCTGGTATTAATTGGCCTTTTAAAATGATCCTGAATGGGCATATATGGACATGTTAACATCAGAGAGACTTCTGATTTTCTCTGCATGTGTTTGTGTACTAGAAAGAAGAGTTTGCCTTTTTTTTTTTTTTCCTTTTTGTCTTTTTTACTGACCGGTAACGGGATCGCAACCCTCGGTGTCACGCCCGTACTGGGGACCGGCAATGGGATCGCAACCCTCGGTGTTGCGTCTGCACCGCGCTCAGCCAGTGAGCGGGAACCGGTCTCCACATGGGATCCGAACCCTTGGCAGGAGCGCCACCGTGCTCCCAAGCAGTGCACTCTCCAGTGCGCCACCGGGCCGGCCCAAGAGTTTGCCTTTTTAAAGCACATGGTTACATCCTTAATCAAGGCAAGGAATTTTAATCACCTAGGGAATCATGTAGACTGTTTCTGTTGTTCTTGCCACAGATCAATTGTGCCAAGGCTGATATTGATGGATCACAGGAATGTGTGTTTTAAAAAATCCCCTCAAGTTTTTCTATTCCTTTCCATACTTAAAAATACTATATTTGGAAGTTAGATGGACTTTTGAGTATTACTTAATTCTTAAAACATCCTTACCCACTACTGGTCAGTGTGCATTTAGGGAATGTTACACTGAGTGGATTCAGTAGATTGTGGAAATGAATTCTCTCAAAAAACCTCTGTGCAATGGGAGATTACTTCCAGCCTGTACTGAAAAGGACCTTAGAGTAGATAGCCTTTTTCCACTGACCTGGGCCGTTTCTGTCATCTAACTCATCTACTTCTCTCCCACCTGTTATCTTTTCTGAGATCTAGCTTCATTCTGACCAAATTTGGTATTTACCAAATTCCTAGCTATGTACTGTATTTCTTCCCAGGGAGTATGAAAAATATGGATTCCTACCTGAAAAATATTCTCTCAGCTTAAGTTCTTCCTTTATCTCTCAAGTCATGCCCAACTTCTATCTCATCGCTAAATCATTGTGGCTCCAACCTTTTCAAAATCTCTTATGTTTCTAATTTTCTTCAGTTTCCAATGTCACTATGCATTTCAAGTCTCTTTGCCTTTCTTAAGAATGTTGGTGGTGGATTTCTTAGACTGGGTTCCTAGCCTCTCATTTCTCCCTTCTGAAATCCATCAACCTCTCTGCTGCTGGTTTAATCTTTCTACATCACTTCTCAGATGCCACTCTGATCTCTGCTCAAAAGGTTACTGTATCCTATCTCCTACTGCCAAAAGAATCATGTCTAAAGCAAGGTTTTCAAACTGATGCTCATCTCCAAAAACAGTCTCGGCCAAGCTAACTTCTCACCTTCACTTGTGAGGCATTTCCATCCCCCTTTAAACAATTCACCACACTCTCCTCTATGTTGTCTCACCATCTAGCCTTTGGTTATTTTGTTCTCTCATCTAAGAATGTCCTTCATCCCTAGCCAGTGCATCCAAAAGTCACCCATCCTTTAGGATCAAGTTCAAGTACTACCTTATAAGACATGAAGCCTTCTCTGGTCCTCCTCCTAGACAAACTCTCCCTAAACTAAAAGCCAATACCACTTTCCTTAAAACATTGTTAATAGCAGCAGCTGACATTTATTGAAAGATAACTGTGATACAAGTATTGTGCTAAATTATATTCATGATCTTGTTTAGTCACCAAAAGAAAACTCTGGAGTTACAACCTCTTTGCAGATGAGGTCTTTGAAGCTAAAGAAGGTTCAGTAACTTACCCAGGGTTACAGAGCTAGTAAGTTGAAGAGCTTGCATTCTAATACCTGACAGCTGTGTGAGCTCATTACACTTTTACTCACCCCTAACAATGTCTGGCACCATGTATGATACATCTCAGGTGAAACAGGCAGAATACATAGCTCTGTATTAGACTTAAAAGGATAGTATCCCAGTTGGAAAGTGACCCAAATAAGGAGGGTTCTTCACACGCACGATTATGAGGCCGCCAGAGATCATCGGCAATGATCAAAAAAATAGGAAATAAATCTATTTTCCGAAATAGTATCTACCCAGCTTGGATAACCAATGAAAATGAAGAGCACAAAGTAATAATGAGTCAGAGACAGCAAGGACAACTATATAAAAAGATGAAAAACACCCAATGGGAGAGATAAGAAATAAGGCATTAAACTAATTTGTCAGACTGATAGTCACTGAATTTCAGATTTTGAAAGAATATTACAGGTCAAATAGTCTAATGATATAATAATTTTAGAAATCTCTATAATATGCCTGACAGGGCTTCTGCTAACCCTGCCTTCAACTTTACTACTTCAAACTTCCCTCATTTTGTGCAGCACATTAGAAAAATCTTAATAATTTTAATAAATTCAGACAATTCATAATTCTTACAAGTTTCAATACCTAGGGGTGGCATCTGTGAGTATGAGGCTGAAAGTCAAGATTCATATTTGGAGTTCATTGTAAGTTGAACACAGTGAGCAGAGCAGGAAGCCCTGACTTCTGCACACGCAAGTAGCCTGGGAGAAGGGCAGGAGATGGGATGAGGTTCTTCTAGGGGCTTGGAGGTGGGACTGCGTTACCTGAGGCCCTGAATTTCAAGCCCATTGGCCTGGGTTCCTGGTTTAAGGCCAGTCTACTCTGAAGGGAGTATTTCTTTGGGTTAGCCTTCATCCTTTACCCAGCAAGCTCCCTCGGAAAGCATTTCTCAGAGCTATCTGCACAGCCCGATTCCTTAGACTATAAACAATGGGATTGAGGAGAGGGGTTACCACTGTGTAGGTAACAGAAATAAGCTGATCCCGCTCAAGAGAGTAGATGGCTTTGGGCCTCAAGTACATAAAGGAAGCACAGCCATAGTGAATAACAACCACGGTGAGGTGTGAGGCGCAGGTGGAGAAGGCCTTCTTCCGTCCCTCAGTGGAGGGGATCCTCAGGATTGCTGCTAGGATGTAGGCATAGGAGATGGTGATGAAGAAGAAGGAGACCAAGAGGACCAGCAGGCTGAGGATGAGGATCCCCAGCTCACTCAGGCCTGTATCCCCACAGGCAAGGCTCAGCACTGGTGGCGTGTCACAAAAAAAGTGCTGGATCTCATGGGAGCTGCAGAATGAGAGGTGGAAAATGACCAGTGTCATTCCCAGCCCAAAAAGGTATCCACTGAGGAAGGAGCTACCAATCAGCTGGGCACAAAGTATAGAATTCATGCGGCTGGCATAGTGCAGTGGGGCACAGATGGCTACATATCTGTCAAAGCCCATGACAGCCAGAAGGAAGCAGTTGGTACAGGCCCAAGAGGCAGAGAAGAACATCTGGGAAGCACAGCCCACATAGGAGATAGCCTGGGCCCCCATAGCCAGGCCAGAGAGCATCTTAGGGATGATACCCAAAGTGTAGCAGGTCTCAGAGAAGGATAGGAAGGAAAGAAAGAGGTACATGGGGGTGTGCAGATGGCTATCCAGCCTGATGACTACGATAATGAAGACATTGCTGGTCAGGGTGACAAGATACAAAGAGAGAAACAAGGAAAAGAGCAGGAGTTGCAGCTCCCCAAAGCTGGAGAAGCCCAGAAAGACAAAGCCCCTCCAGGAGGTTACATTGGTAGACCCCATTCTGAGTGATATCCCTAATGCATTTGTTAATTTCTTCAACCTTGGCAGCAGATGCTTAGCTTCTTTAAATGGCAGAATGAGATGAATTCTCTTTTCTCTGTGCCTGTTGTAAAATAAAAAAAAAAAAAAAAAAAAAAAAAAAGCTCAGGTTTATACTGAAGTCAAACTCCAGAGAGGTATTTTTATATTATACACACAAACATATGGATCCGTTCTCACATTCATGTATATGCACACACATATACACAGATACACAATCATCACACATATCCGTATGCACACACACAAATACATGTATGACTACATATATGCAGGCACGTAATAAGCACTCACACATAATCATGCACATTGCACACATTCAAAACTATGCATTGCACATTAATTATTTATGACCCATATCTGCAAATATATCAGGCACGCACATATATTACACATACATGTGTATTAGGATAACATGGAAATTTGTAGATAAATGTACCACTTGTATGTTCATACTGACCTTGGATATACACTGTCACATAAGAACACATATATGGACACACAGAGATATTGCTTGTTAGAACTTGGGATGGAAATGGAGGGCTTGATAGATATTATTTCATTTATCAGGCAACAAAGGCCAAGAGAAGTGAAGTGACTTTCTTGAATTCACACAGAACCAGGAGTAGAGAACAAGTATAGCCAGTCCTAATCTAACATTATTTCTCCCATATAATGAAGACTTTCCTCAGGTACTGTGGGGCATTCACTGATATGAATACAGAATAAGAAACAGCTTGCTCAGTAGTAATCCTCTGTGTCTATACAACCCCACCCTCTAGTGCTTTTATCATTTCCAACTTCCTTAGGCAGAGTAGGGCAGGCTCTTTTACATGTGAGTCTACGCTGAGCACTGAAGGAAGAATCGGGACTGAGGGCAGGTGCTTCATCGGGTATTTCTTGGCCCAAAAATCAGCCAGCAGGCTCTGCTGCCTCCTAAAAATCTGCTGCAAACCAAAGCATGGGAGAAATTAGGCAAGGGAGGATTCTCCACTCACCTGAAGAGGCTCGCAGTGAGAGCAAGACCTGCCTTTCAGTAGCCAGGCACTAGACTGAATCTCAATAGGCTAGCCTGCAAGAGAAAGACGTGAGGTCCATCGCGGAAACTCCTCTTCTGAACAGAGTGATGTCCCTAAGTGACACTAAGAAACCTTCTTCCGCACCCCTAGCCCCAGGTGATGAATCATATCTGCTTCCATCCAAACAGCTTCTGTCTCTGAGGATTCCCCAATCCCAATGGTACTGTTTCAGGAAGCACATCTAATTGTGCTTCTTGTCATTAGTTGGGAATATACTTTTGGGGAAAGCAGAAAGAGAATCTGAACAAAGAGACACTGGGATGGTGATTCAAACAATAATTTACATATCTACTAAATATGAGGGGTCTTCAAAAAGTTCATGGAATCATTCTTATCTCTTCACTCCATTTTTCGACAAGCTTTTTGAAGTACCCTCGTATTATATTAATTATTTCCACATGATAAATCTCTTTTAAAACTTCAGCTAGCCTAGTGAAATAGCGTTAATAGTTACATTTTATAATAAAGAAAACTAAGCCTGATAGAATTGAAGTGATCAGTCCAAGATCACAGAACTCAGGATTTATGCTTTTAAATTCACGCTATAAGACATATAATAAAATTACACAAACAACAAAAACAGCAAAAATGGAACTCACCTTCTCTCCTGTTGCCTCAAGAACGTGATATGCCTATTTCAGATATGCATTTGGTTTCAAACTTATTTTGAAGAAAATCCTGGTCTCTCTCAGGATCAATTTATTTGTGTATTATCCTCATCTGTCTGCTCTAATTTTTTTCAGGTGTATCTTTTTAAAAGAATCTTTACCTTATTTTTATTTTGTTGCTTTCTTTTTTCCACATTGCTGCAATATTTGCACCCAGATTTTCAATCTACTTTCCAGCCTCAGCTTATCTTGAAACCTAAAACTGTCCCAAAAGTCCAACTAGGCTAATCACTTTGTCTGAGTTAACACTCTCAAAGTGCATTTTTTCTCTAATATACTAATGGTATAAGTAGTTGCACCTCCAATATATATTTTTACTCATTTTCTGACTGATTAGAAACAATAGTGATAATTGGTAATAGGTATTCAACACCAGATATTGACTAACTTCATATAAGGATTCCATACATTTAAGGATTAGTATTATTACTTCTGTTTTACGGATCAGAAAGGTGAGTCATGGAAAAATTAAATAACTTACCCAAGATAATACAGCCAATTGGTAACACAGTGGCAAGTAGAATCAAGAACACTTTCTCTTAACTACCATACTATTCCTGGTACCCTGCATCAGTTAGATCTAACAGATAACAGAGATAGGAAACAAATTTAACATTAGTATAACTATTGGGAAAAGAGAAAACAGAAAATAGAAAAAAATGTATGTGTGTGCCTAGTCTTTTATATTTAACAATTTTTTTTTATCATTTTCAATTTTCTACATTCTTTCCTATATATTCAAGTTACCATGGATTTCATTTTCCTTCAGCCTGAATGATTTCCCTTAGTATTTCTTAGAGTGCAGGTTTACCAGCAGCACCTTATCTCCCTTTTTATTTACTTGAAAATGTCCTTATGTTTCCTTAATTTGTGAAATGTGATTTGCTAGATGTAAAATTCTTGGTCAACCAGATTTTTTTTTCTTTCATCTTTCAATATGTCTATATATATATATATATATATATATATATATATATGAGAGAGAGAGAGAGAGAGAGAGTTGTTGAAAGATAATTTACACTTATTTGTAGGATACAAAGTTGACTAACAATAGTTGGGTACAATATGTGATGGTCAAATCAGGCTAGTTAGCTTATTCATCATTACAATAGATCATCATTCTTTGTTTCCATTAACCAATTCCTCACTAAACCCCCTCTCTCTCCCCCTTCCCTCTCCTTTTCCACCTCTAGTAACCACAGTTCTGTTTTTTTCCTTCTAAAAGTTTAATGTATTATTGTGATTATTGTTTTTTTTTTCTCTCTGTCTCTTTCTTTATTGTTTGTTTATTTATGAATTCATCTCCCACTTAAGAGTGAAGACAGGCAGTATTTCTCTTTATGCATCTGGGTTGTTTTACTTAGCCTAATTTTCTCCAGCTGTATGCCTGTTGCAAATTACAGAATTTCATTCTTTTTTATGGCTGAGTAGTATTCCATTGTGTGTATATACCACGTTTTCCTTATCCAGTCATCCATCAATAGACATTTAGGTTGGTTTCATGGCCTGGTTATTGTAAATAGAGCTGCAATAAACATGGCAGTGTAGGTATCTCTTCAACATGATGATTTCGATTTCTTTGGATATATACTAGTAGTGGGATTGCTGAATCTTATAATACTATCTGTAGTTATTTAAGGAATCTCCATACTGTTCTCCATAATGGCTGTGCTAAGTTATAGTCCCACTAACAGAACAGTGCAGAAGTGTTCATCTTTTCTACTTCCTCACCAGTATTTGTTTTTGTTATTTATTCATGAGATACAAAGATGATTGCCCCCCCGTCATGCCCTACATGTGAAGGCCAGAATCATATTGACAGCATGCCCACTACCACAAATTGCATTTGTACCCATGTCCTCCACCCAATTATCCCCATCTTCCCTCCCCCTCCCCCTTTCTCCCATTCCACTTTGCATCCCTAAATATTTTCTCTCCCTCTGCAAGTCCAACACACCAGTGTGGTTTGTCTTTCCTTCCTTCTTTCTCTCTTAGCTCCCACTTATGAGTGAGTACATGCAGTATTTATACCTCTGTGCCTTGCTTATTTCACTCAACATAAGTTTCTCCAAGCTCATCCATGTTGTTGCAAATGGGAGAATTTCATTCTTTTTTATGGCAGAATAGTATTCGGCAGTGTATATATAGCACAGTTTCCTTATCCAATCATCCATCGATGGACTCCTGCACTCCCATGTTCATCACAGCTCTGTTTACAGATTTCCAATTAATTTATTTTTTATTATTTCCTTTCTCTAATAATTATTCATCAGCTTACTATTCATTACCTACTTTCCTTTCATTCTTTGAACACATTTATAGTACTTGATATAAATACTGTAGAATTCAAATTGTGGGTTCATGTGAATTCAATTTCTGTAGACTACTTTTTTTCCTGTGTATAGATTTACTCTACAAATTCTATTTTTTGTATAAGTAAAATAAACAGTTTTGATTGAAAACTTCACATTTTGGAAAAGATATTGCAATGATTCTGAAAATCTGTTTTGTTTTTTCTGAGGGTTGTTCTTTTTTTTTTTTTTTTCTCTAGTGGTGGACAGTTAACTTTTCTGAATTAAAAATGCAGAATTTCTCACCTATTGCTTGCAGCAGTTGATATTTCTGCTCAAATTGTTTGCTTTGAAGATGGTGCTTCTTTTCTTTTTCCTTTTTTTTCTAGTCTAGGCTCCCAGTAATCTCCAGTATGCAATCATAGTTTAGCCATCTGCATATTTAATTTTGCAGTCAGCAAATTTTTGTATAGAGTTTGCTCTCAGATCTTGAGGTCCTTCCTCTCTCTAGTTCCATAAATATTTTGGTTGCTTTGATTGTCCTCAGTTCTGCTGTCTGAAAACTCAAGCCTATAAGTCCACTTTCTGCTCTTAAATCTTTGTCATAGTAGAACATACTCAAAGGCATATCAAACTCATAAATATTACCGAGTCGTTCAGTCTTTCAAGAGTATAGTCTTCTTACTTGTGTCTATTTTTT